CCCCCCGCCGCCGCCTTAAGTACGGCGGGCGCGGGACCGCCCCCGGGCCCCCAGCTCCACGGCCCCGCTCCGCCCCGCCCTTGGCCGCGCTCTGCTGCCATCGGAACCGGCCGCGTGCCCCGGCACTGCCCCAGCACTGGCACCGGGACGGCGACCGGGGCTGCGACTGATTCTGAGATCGGCACCGGGCTCGACAGCGGGACTGGGAATGGGACTGGCACTGGCACCGAGACAGCTATCGGCACCGCCACGGCCATGGGAACTGGGATCGACACTGGGACTGGGACTGACTCCGGGACTGGCACCGACACGAGGACGGGGATCGGCAGCGGAACTAGGAACGGGACCGGCACTGGAACCGAAACCGGAAGCGGCACCAGGACTCGGACCTAGACAGGGACTGGGACCGGCCCCGGCACCGAGATTGGCACTGGGACCGGAATTGCCATCGGGATCGGGACTGCGACCAAGACCGACGCTGGGATAGGTATCGGGTCGGGGATAGGAACCGGGGATAGGTCACCGGGGGCAGCACCAGGACTGGAGCCTCCCTGCCCAGAGCACCCCGTTCCCGCAGCCCGGTGCCTTCCTCTTTCCCATCCCCTTGAAACAGCCGGTCCCGGGGGCACCTCCCTCCCCGGGAGCCCCAGGAAGGGCCTGGAGGGGCAGGTGTGGATCGAGGGGAACCCTGGGTGGGGCCTGAAGGAAACTCTCTTCCCTGGAGCAGTGCTGGGAGTGGGGCAAAGATGGCCTCATGCCCTTGGAGGAGCCCTTCAGAAAATGATGAAGGCCCCAAGGGACCACTTGAAGTGGTCCCTGAAGGCGATTTGTGGGGAGCACTGGGGCCAAAAGGTCCAAGGGGCTACTGACTGCTCAGGGCAGCCCCAGGGAGGGCCAAAGGATACCTCAAAGAGTGCTTGTTCCCTCGTAGCCATCCCTGGGGGAGGCTGTGGTGAGTCCAGCCTGTGGAACTGGAAACACTTGCAGAAGAGATCTCAGACCAGCAGGACGTGTCATGGGAGAGATGTTTCAAGCCCCTGTACTTGCTTCTCCTGATGTATGTGTAAACAGTTTGAGGATTTCAGCTGAATCCTCACTCATTTGGTCGGGGTCCGTGGGTGTTTGAGTTGCTTGAAGCAGCAGACTTGGCTCCCTCGTCATGGGCTGTTGGGCTTCGCCTGCTCCGTGGAGCCCCTGAGAGGGCTGGTGGGATCTCGGGATCTTCCCAGGCAGGGCGAGTGCCTGTTCTGCTCCTGGCAGGCGTTTGCCTGAGCTGTTCCTCCCTGGCACACCCAGTGCTGAGCTCCGGAGGTCACCGAGCACCTCCCTCACACCCCGCGGCCAGAAACGCTCCCGAGTCTTGGCCTGGGAGATCAGGTACCTCCCTTCCTTTTCGCAGGATTGCTTCTCAGCAGCATCACAGCTGTGACACTTTCTCTGTGCCCATGTCCCTACTCTGTGCCCTCATCTCTTCTCTCTGCCCACGTCCTCTCCCTGTGACCGTGTTCCTTCTCCATGCCCACCTCTTCTGCCCCGTTTCCAGTGGCTCCCGGAGGATGACTCCAAACTGATGCAGAGCTGTCCAAATCCAGCTCCTCAGTGACATCTTGTGCTGGGAATGCTCAGCGCAGGCTGGGAAAAAGTTCCTGCAATTGTTTTTTCCTGCCCTCTGACATTGCTGTAGTGAAACCACGGGGATTCCCTGAGCTCATTTGTAAGGTTTTCTTTGGGAACATCTTGTCCTTCCGTGGAGACAGCCAGACAGTGGTATTGCCTTTGACAGAGCTGGGTACAAAGCTCTGGAAAAGCATCCACTTCCTTCAAAACATTCCCTGTGCTCTTTTGTACCATTTAGACAATAATAATAATTCACCCAAAGTTCCTCACTGTGATGAGACTGCACATATGAATTCTTGGGATGCAATTCAAACCTTGTTTCTCAGCCAATTGCCAGAGAGAAAATTCCCTTCAAAGGCTCTAATGGCACCAGTCACCCCTGGGAAACACTTGCCTGGTCTTAACAGGGAAAGCTTCCAAGTGCTGCCTGCTGTGCCAGCAGAGCTGCAGCCCTGCAGCATCCAGATGAGTGCAAAACCAGGTCTGAGTTTCTGAAGAAACTTTACTTTCAGACTCAAACTCAGAAATGAAATGTTAAAAAGCCACTTTTTGATGGAAGTAAAATCTGATGGGGTTTCTTTCAGGGTGGTAGTACCTGAAGCAGAGGACATCCCTGAGCTGGCAGCCCTGCCAGTGGCAGGGAGACCAACAAGGGATGCTCCAGACTGCTGTGGAGACTGTACCAAGCCTTTGTGGGTCACCGTGGCCTTGCAGAGCACTGACCCCCAGCTCCCAATACCCTTTGGCTATAACACTATACCCTCGAGGCCACTGTCCCCATCCCCACCATGCCCAGGCACCTGCTCATGGTGGCTGCAGCTGGCATGGGAAGCTCAGTCAGCCCGTGGCTGGAACACACATCACAGACACAACCATGCTGCTATATCACACGTGGGGAACATGGCTGAGGCTGGAAAACACACATTCAAGTATTTCCTTGGGCACTCTCGTCATGATGGGAATAAATCCAGGAGAAGCTGTTATGGATGGCTTGAGAAGCTGTAAAATGTGAAGAAACATTTAAATATGAGACAAACGGGTGAGGAGGGAATTTGGCACAGGAGGAGATGCAGTTCAGAAGTGGAGGCCATACCATGCATATTTCATGGGCTAGCCCTCAGCAGAGGCTTCTTTGACACCACAAACATCACATATGGCAAGGAGCAACAGCAGCCACTCCCAGCATCTGGGAAGGACAAACTGTGGGGTGATTGCTCCTCCTGCCTTATGGTAGAAGTAGGCCAAAGCACAGGACCTGGAAACTGCTGGCTCTGCTTCTTGAGTGTGGGACGAGCCTTCCTCACCTTCCTCTTCCTTCAGCCCTGTGCCAGGCTAGGGGCAAGCCTGCCCCATCCTTGGGGCTGGGGCTCTGACCTTGCTGTCTCACATAAATAAACACTCAGGGATGGAAAATTTCAAGCCCTCCAGCCCTGCTGCCCCACCACTCTGTGCTTCCAGCATTGCTCCTCTGAGGTTTCCTTGGAGAATGCTGACTCAGGTCCTTCTCTGTTAGGTGTTTCTCACTGATCACATGCCTGATTTGTGCCCAGCACCTGTGCTACCAAATCATTCCCACTGCAGGCCAGCATGCAGGAGGGACACCTGCACTGTGTGGGAGCAGAATGGATCCTCAGCTGTTATCAGGCTCTATCATAGGTACCCCTTGGAGCAGCAGGTGCTGGGGTGGCAGGAGCTGGGTGGGCCAGAGTCTGACATGGATCCACTGAAAAAACCCAAGAGAAGGTGGACTTGAGGATGGCGCTTCCCAAATTGCAGCCATGTATGGGTTCTCATCTTGTAGGGGGTTATTTTTCTTCACAAGAGACTTCATCTCCCTCTGTGCAACTCTTCAGGGAGAATTCCACATCCACTACTGTCCCCTCTGAGGGGAGGGATAGACCCCTGTGGGGTGCACAGGAACCCCCAGCCTTAGGATGGGAGTGTTTGGATGAGTTGCTACTCTCAGACCCTCCCAAGCTCCCTGTCAGCCTCAGTGTCACCCTCCTGGGGATCACTCTGACTTGTGCCACATTATGGACCACATTTGAGCAGCAGGATGGAGGAACCAGCCTTCCTTCTCACAGCTGGGGAACCAGGGAACTGCATCCTTCCCCTTGCACTTGGTGCTGCAGAGGTTGGCCCTGGGAGGTTCAGCTGCTCCAGCAGGATTAGGGGTGATCCCCATCCAGTGTGGTACAGGCAGGTGAGGCTGCAGCACTTGGTGTCCTGCCTCTGTGAGACCAGAATAGGAGTTTTGGGAACTTGCTGGTCACCTGGGGAATCACAGGGTGGGAGCTCCAGCTCCTGGGGCATTCCTTTGGATTGGGGTCCCTGGAGAGAGCAGCTGAGCACTGCCACAGACCCGGCAGAGGAAAGATGCTGGGTGGCTCCTCTTGCAGCTAATCTCCTGGCCAGCCCAGACCTTGCTTTCCCAGCATGGCTGGGATTTTGAAAGCTGGGCTGTGTTCTGATCCCTGGAATTTTCGACTTGCATCCCAATGATTTTTGGTGAATTGCTTGCAGCCCAAGAAATAAATATCCTCTTGATTCTTCCTGTGAGTTCCTGGGTGGGGCTCAGCAGCCATGTGAAAATACCCAGGTGAATTTCCATAAAGGTCAATGCTGTTAAAAAAATAAATTGCCTCTGAAAGGGAACCTAGGAGATACCCAAGGCAGGGAAAGACACATCAGACTTACCACATCAGTTAATTATATTTTTTTGCAGAGAGTCCTTCGTTTTTCCATCCACTGGAAGAAGGGGGTCATGTGAGATTTCTACAAGTGTGCTTGGGGGAAAAGGAACATCAGTGGAGACCTGAAACAATTTTGCTGCTCTTACAGCTGAGAAAAGATCACGCTGGGAGGTTTCTGTGGAAGTGGGGCCTGGGGAATGGACATGAGAAACTATTTTTTCCCAGCTGACTCCCTTGGCGGGTGAGTTGTTTACAGAGCCTGGATGCCAGAGTACCTGGAGTACTCCTGGAAGGGAGCCAGCTCTATTTTAGCCCTTTGTAAATGATTTAAATACCTCTGCTGGGGAAACATTCCCAGGAAAGGGCTCTTCTTCCTGGGAGGACCAGGGATGTGCAGGAGATGGTGGGAGGCAGAAGGAGCCAGTCCTGGCAGGGACAGCAGGAGTATGTGGTGGGGATGGCTGTGCCCCTCCTGTCCCCCAAGAGCTGCTGCTGGGACCTGAACCAGCTGTTCCTAGTCCAGCTGGCCAGAGGCATCCTCCCAAACCCCTCTCAGGTGATGTTCCTAAGGAGCCCCTCTATTTTTTGCAGCCCTTGCCTGCCAGGAGCATCCCCTGGGAAGGCCAATGGAGCCAAAGGTCCCAGGTGCCCTGTGGGACCCCAGCGAGGTGGTGACATGGGGCAGAGCTCCCTGCAGCACCTGGAGGCGACCACACATCATGGGACTGGGGACAAGCTCCTGAGGCTGGAGCAGGGCAACTCCAACCCCCCCTTACCCTTGAGGAGCTGGCTGCTCCTTATTGATTAATGTGGTGGCTCATTTCTCCAAAAATAGGCTCTGTACTGAGCCCCTGGAAACAGATTTGTCTCAGCAAAACCTGATTGACTCAAGGGCAGCTGCAGCTCCAGCAAGGGCCTGGTGGCCACAGAGCCTGGATGGTCCCTGCCAGAGACAGCTTCTGGCTAGAGGAGGTTTCAGGCTGGTTCAGGTCAGTTCCCAGCTCACAGCTGATGGATATTTGTTTTTTCCAAGTGTCATTTGGTTTTTCTTCTTAACTTTCTGTGTCTGTAATTGCAAGCAAGTGGCACTGAGGGGCACTTGGACTTCTCTTCCAGTGGAACAAAATAGGAGGAAGAATATTCATTTTTCCCTAGCGCTCCTGAACTGTCTGTAAAGAAAGGAAAAAGCTGTTCTGGTTCCCTCCCTCCCCTCTTTCCCCCTCTCTTTCTTTCCCTCTTTCTCTCTTTTGTGTTGTTTTCCCACCTTCTTCCTTTACATGGACAAATACTTTGTGGGAACCTTCATGCTTTTCCCTTATTCTCCTGTCCCAAAGAAGGAGTGCAAGATCCCAAAAAGGCTGAAAAAAAAAAAAAAAAGTTGAGAATAGAGTTGAAAATAGATTTATTTTCTGGGGTTGTTAATCTCTTGAGTTTGGGTTTTTGCCAGGAGTGTCTTGTCATGTCCTGGAGATGGAGAGGGGGTATTCAAGAGCCCTGTGGGTCCCCCACCCAACCTCCCTCAAGCACCACAATCTCTATGGGGAATACAGGGGCCTTCTGACACAAATGAAGGAGAAAAAGGGAAGAGTGGCTGCAGTTGCTGGCTGCCAGCCCTGGCCCTGTGTGAAGGCTGTCCATCACTTGACTGACCAGCTGGACACTGCTCTCTGTCTGCTCTCATCCAGGGTCCATGTCTGCTGTGTCTTGCTCCTCCTCCACATTCCCTGTGGGCTCTGTCCTGTGATCCCAGCCAGTCCCTGCCCTAGAGCTAGACTGGGCACCAGAGGGCCAGGGGATGCTCAGAGAACCCTGAACTCCACATCCAAACCCATGGGCCCTTGCTTACTGCATGGACTGCAGGTCCTTGCTGCCTGCTCATAGGTTTCTTTACCCTTTATATTTTATTTTTTTCAAGGCTGAATCTTTCACACTGGTGGTTGTGTACCTTCATTTTTCTCATTCAAAGTTTCTTACAGTTGAAGTTTTATGGGTAATTTTTAAAATCTTTGCCCAAGGAAGTATCAAAGGGAGCATCCCTCCTCAGAGGGATTCAAGCCATTGCATCCACAGGGGAAGCTCACCTTGCTGAGCCCCATTCCTGCTGTCATAGCTGTGACAGCCACCCCAGGACAGGGGAGAATACAGGACAGAGCCCCTCAAGAGCTCAGGAGGACAGTCCAGCAGGGGGACATTGGGCCGGGGATAGCAGTGCTGGCAGCTGTCACCAGAACTCACACCTCGACTCTGTGAGAACTCAAATCGTTTTTCAACATCATCAGCCAAGTTTCTGCAGATTTTCCTAGGGACAGGGGAAGGCAACACTCCCAAGTCCCTGTTCCTCAAGTTAGCAACTTGACAGCTTCCCACTGGAATGACAGAATTTTTTTTTTCTTAATGCAGGCCAAAGTAATTTCCTCTCATTAGAGCTGCTGATACAGCTGGAAAAAGTGAGCTGTCTCTCCAAAGCCTCATCTTCCAGTGAAGGGCAGCATCCCCCCAGCAGATCTCGGGGTGTTTGCCTGCCCCAGCTTCTTGTCCTTCTGGCTATGGCTCTTTGCACTGAAAATTGGAAAGAAAAATACTCAAGGATGGAAAATTTCAAGCTTTGGTAAAGTTGGACAGAATCCAGGTGAGACTTGGCAGAGAGACCCAGCAAAGGTTTTTCCTTGTGCTGACATTTTTGCTCTGTGCTCTGGAGAGCCTCTCTGCAGCTCTGCTCCAGCCAGGTCAGGCTCTGCCAGTGTAAGAGGTGATGTTAACACCACCACGTGACTTTCTCTGGGTTTTCCTAATTATTTATTTTTTTTATTGTCTCTGGAGCTGTGGATATTTCAGAAGCAGACACTGCAGTGGTTTTACATCCTGTGGGGATGGCTGTCCCGTCAGCCCACCCCACTCCCAGAGGTGGCCCAGAGGCTTTGATCCTCTGGCTGCTTGTCCACAGCAGACACTGCACATTGTGGTAGCACCAGAACAACCTGACGCAGCCCAGATAAATCACCTGATGGAAATAAGGAGCTGGGATTTTGTTGCAAACTCTGGTTACTGGTAACCAAAAGCAAAGAATTACTCTGTATCTGTGTGTTGCTGGCTGGCTCTGGGATGCACATGAGGATGAACTGGGGACGTGCTGTAGACTGCTGTGACTCCATCTCCCTTCTGTGAATTCTTCCACCCATACCTTGCCAGAGGATGCCAACCCATCCCTGCACAGTTTGAGGAGCTCTGCAGAAGGACCTTCATGGGCTGTCCTGAGTCCTGGGCTCCTCTACACCAGGAAGGACTGGCACTCCTTGTGGACCCCAGGAGTCACTGAGAAAGTCCCCAAGTGCTGAGGTCAAAGGCCTCAAATTTCACCTGTGGAGAAACAAGGAGGTTATATCTGAGTCATTCCAAAGTTGAAACAATTTTTGTTTGTCTTTATGCTCCAGGCATTTTATTTATTTATTTATTTATTTATTTATTTATTTATTTATTTATTTTAAAAAAAGAGAAAGGCAGCAAATTCAAGGTAAAATAAAAGCAATTTGAAGATGAGAGCTGAACCTACTCCGCTGTAAATTTGGAGAAGCCATCACCAAATTTGATGTGGGGTTGCTGTCCTCTCCTTCCCTCCAGGGAGCACTGTGGCATCTCCTTTCCCCCGGATTTTGGAGAGAATGGTTTTGTCTTTCTTACCCAGAGACAGAAATAAAGCTCCAACAACCTGTCTGTGCTGGTCTGTTGTTCCCTGCTTTGCTGATTGTGTTCCTTCATCAAGAGGATAATGAGAGGCCAAAGACACACCAGGGCATGTACATGGTCAGAATGGGCTCCCCATCTCTGAGGAGGTGGGTGTGCTTTTGTCCCAGAGCAGAGGTGCTTAAAGCACCATGATACAGACATGATTCTCAGTAGATGCTCTTGCCCCTCCTTGGATCACATCATCCAGTCAAGACAGTAACGCAGCTTGAACATGATTTTGGGTGGATCACGTGGTGGCGGCAGCGGTTCCTGGGAGCAGCCAGAAGGGTGAGCTGGGGCTGGCTGTGGGTTGGGTGTGCTGGTGGAGCTGTTGGAGATACTTCAGTGGAGACCATGGAGATGCTCCAGGGGCTGGAGCCCCTCTGGAACCAGGCTGGGAGAGCTGGGGGTGCTCACCTGGAGAGGAGAAGGCTCCAGGGACACCTCAGAGCCCCTTCCAGGGCCTAAAGGAGCTCCAGGAGAGCTGGAGAGGGACTGGGGACAAGGGATGGAGGGACAGGACACAGGGAATGGCTCCCACTGCCAGAGGGCAGGGCTGGATGGGATATTGGGCAGGAATTGTTCCCTGGCAGGGTGGGCAGGCCCTGGCACAGGGTGCCCAGAGCAGCTGGGGCTGCCCCTGGATCCCTGGCAGTGCCCAAGGCCAGGCTGGACACTGGGGCTTGGAGCAGCCTGGGACAGTGGGAGGTGTCCCTGCCATGGCAGGGGTGGGGCTGGGTGGGATTTGCGGGTCCCTGGAGCAGCCCCGGGCTCCGGGAGCGGGGAGGACGCGGAGGGGCCGAGGCGGTGACGCCTCTGCGCCGCTGGGTGGCGCTGCCGGCCCGGGGACACGGCGGGGACACGGCGAGCTGCGGCTGCCATCGGCCACCGCCGCCTCGTCCTGCTGTCCCTGCCCCTTCCCTTGGGTGTCTCCATCCCAGCCCAGGGTCTGGCCCACTCTGGAAGCGGCTGCTCCCGTGAATTTTTCCTGTCTCAGCCCCGCAGGCTCGCCCAGCCTCTGCCCCGCTTTCCCCCCACCCCTCCTTCAGCACAGCTCTGGAGGCCCTCCAGGTCTCATGAAAACTCCAGTTATCCAGCTGTTCTCTAAGAAACTCCAGTTATCCAGCTGTTCTCTAGTCCAGGTGTCCTGGCATCTATCCTCCAGCCTGAGCCCGGGCTCCTCAGGCAGCAGAGTGAGCAGTGGGCAGGGGTGTTCAGCTCTCCTGTAGCCTGGGTAGAATCTGCAACGTGTCAGGGACTGGACGAGGTCCTCAAGGAGCCCCAAGGTGAGTGTGAGTGTCCCAGGTAGGTGGCACTGAGGATGCCCTTGGATGGCTGCACCTATTCCCTTGCTCCCTGCCTGCATCAGGGCTCCTGCAGGGTGCTGGGGAGGGCCAGGTGGACTGGGGACAACTGGGCTGTCCCCTGTTCCTAAGCCATGGGACATGGCAGCTCTCTGAATGAGCCCTCTTTCTCTGTGTGTTGTCATCCAGCCCCAGCAGTGCCAGTGCCCATTTGGGATGAAGGGGGGTGCTGGGGAGCAGGGGTGAACACACGCAGGGCTGTGCAGTGTGTTTGTGTATCCCTGGAGGTGCACACAAGGGAGATTTGGGCACAAAAGGGTGTTTATTGGGGTATACACATGTCCAGCAAGTGGGAGAAGGAAGGGGTGTGTGTGTGGAGCAGTGCCTAGCAAGACCAAGGTGGGTCCATCAGCTCTGTCCCTGCTCTGCCCCAGGGGTGCCTGGAAAGGCTCCTTTTGGGTTATCCACCATACACCTCATCCTGGCCCAGCTGACAATGGAGTTTTATTGCTGCTCCCAAGAGCTGCTGTGGAGAGATCCTGGGAGGAGCTCCCAGCCCATCCATCACACACTAATTTGGCATTTATGAAGAACCTGAAGCATGAAATTCTCCCTGGGACATGCATAGGTGTCGGTATCAAAGATAGGCTCAGCAAAATTCCCATAACCCTTGCCTGTGCCTGCTTTCCTCCTGGTGCCCACAGGACCCAAAGGTGCCCTTTCCCAAACTCAAGTTCCCTTGGCCACACTGCAGTGTGCCCATCTGCCTGGCCCACATCACAGCTGGACAGGGATGGGTGCAATCATGGTTGAGTGTCTCTCCAGGACAGGCACAGCTCACACAGCCTGGCTCTCTCTGGTGCCAGGAATTGCTGGGGTAGCAGTTTGATTTTACAGACAGGTGTGGTGGCATCAGGTTGCTCCCTTGCTGTCCTTCCCAGTACAAGACAGATGCTGGTTACTGGACCAAGTCCAGGGAAGAGTTGTGGGGATGGTTGAACCACTCATGAGAGAAGCAGTGGTCTCTACCCTTGGAGATATCTCAAAGCCTGTGGGCTATAGCCCAGAGAATCCAGCTTTAGGTGACCCTCCCTGAGCAGGGATGGCACTGGACCATCTCCAGAGGTTCCTCAACCTCAGGGAGCTGTGAGTCGGTCATGAGGGTGCTGAGCCCTGCAACAATGGGGCAAATGTCCAAGGCCAGAGAACAAAGAAAAATAAGAATCTAGTTTTGTTTTCTTTTGAAAGCATCTCTAGTTGCAGAAGATGGACAGCAATGAAGGGAAAAGCTGGGTGGTGGTGGAAGATGGAAGAGAACTGAAGTCCCATACCTCCTTTAGCTGTTCAGCATCACCAGAGGACACCAAATGGAAATGTGGCATGTTCCCAAACAAAACAGCAGTTCAGGCCCAATCTCATATTTCTCCATCCATAAGCAGATTCCGGCAACAAAAAAAAAAAAGGTAAAGAATATACAGTTTGTCCAAAATTTGGCAATTTTTTCCATGAAGGTTGTTTGGATTCTGATGAAACCTGGTTTTATCATGACATTTTGCTCTGTGAGAAAGCTCTTCTTGGCTGTGCCCAACACTGTGTGTTGCTCAGCAGAGAACAGACGGCCTGACAACAATTTGGCTGCTAAAACTTCTAAAAATAAAAGCCATCCTCTTTTATTTCTTTTTTTCCTCTCTGAAGAAACGTTGCAGCATCACACCTTCTTCCCAGTACAAACTGTCAAACCTCTTCAGGCTGAGGGGCTGTGCATGACACTGAACTCCAAGATTGTGTTATTTCGGTTTTCTGCACTATTTTGTTCTCAAAATGGGGTATTTTCTCTGGTCTTGGCAGAAGAAATAGAGGAAAGAAAAGGTCACAGGGTGTGTTCAAACACTCTTGTTGTTTGGGGCTGCCCAGAGAGGAGCGTTTGGGGAGACTCTTCTGAAACTGTCTGCTCTGATGAGGAGGCAGAGCTGGAGCTCACCCCCCTGCTCTCTGGGGTGGGGGTGTTTCCTGGTGGTTTGTGCTGAACTGGTTTGAACTGGGAGCTCCATCCTGCAACATCTCCCCTCACTGCAGCAGGGCAGCTGCCTGAGGCTCCCCTTGTGCTGCTCCAGGGCTGAGTGACAGAGCTAACACTGCTGCTGGTCATTGCTTAACAGCCAGGAAACTTCAGCGTGGGGCTGCAGTGCATGAACCAGAATTAAATAACAATATTTTCATCTGAGTATGTATCTGTATCTATACCTGTCACAGTACAGCCAGCCTGGGCTGGACAAAGTGAATCTGACCATAAGACAAATCCAGTTTGGCTGGCCTGGTTCATACCTGAACATGTCCCTGGATAAGTTACAGAGGACCCTTGGCCAGCCCCATTCAAGCTGAGAAGTGAGCCAGAGATCACTGGCCAGAGATCTGGGCAGAGAGAGATCCCACCCAATAGCTATCTAAACCTGGGAGTTTTGAATTGAGTATAAAAGTGAGCTCTGCACAATAAACAAGGCTTTTTTGTTTCATGAGCATCTGGTTCACAAGTTGTGGATTTTCATCTTCCCATCGATGACTGGCATAGTAAATATACCTATATCATCTATATCTATATTTAAAGGGGCTTTACTCAAAGCCATGCACCTCCCATCACCTGAAATGTCCAGCTGAGAGGAACTGCTTTCACTTGCAGATGTTTTGAAGAAGTTTCTACCCTCTTTGGCAAGGGAAATGTGGCACACTGAGTGTTTGTCAGGGGTTGGAGGTCCCTGGTGTCTTGGGGATGCACAGAGGTGTCACCCCTGTGTTTGGACATGGACATGCCCACCAGTCATGCTGTAGGAAAATAAAAGGCATCCAGACCATGAGAACAGACTTGTGACACCCCCCTTGCCCCAGCTCTCAGCCCCCCACCTTTGCTTGGAGCATCTTTTGCTCTCAGCATTTCCCATGTTTCCACTCAGACTGTACTTCCTTGCCTGTTCCTGGGAATGCACCAGAGGCTTTGCATAATGGATCCATCCATTGTTTCTTCCTTCATTAGACCAAATATCCTGGCAAGGAGGGAAATTAGATCACCCTGACATCATTTTTTCCTGGTAGAGTTGTGTTGGCTGCTTTTTATCTTTTATTTTTATCACAATATTAGTACTTACAAATGGATTGTTCAATAATTTGTTCCAAAATTTTTCAAGGAACTGAAGCCAGCTTGGCTGATCTGTAACTCCCCAAACTCTTAATTTCCTTTATTTATGTATTTCTATTTTTCACAGAAAAAGTGCTTTTTCCGCACTTCCCCAGGATTTCCTAAGCCTTTAAAATTTGTCACAATCTGCTGCTAATTATTCAGAGGTTGCTTACATTTCCAGGGTGATTTCTCTTGACCCCTGACTACTCAATGCACTGAGCTTCTCTCGCTACTGGTGACGGCTCTGGGCACTGTTTACAGGCTTGCA